GCCTCCCAGAGTGCTAGGATTACAGGCGTGAGCCACCGTGCCCGACCTAGACTTAGTTTTGAGGTACTTTTACAAGCTGGTTTAAACTTGGTTGGGTATTTGGGGTACATTCTGGCCTGAGTTCAACTTAGATCCAGGCAGGGAATTTCTAAACTACTTCTGTATCTTTCTCCCTCACATGAATAATATATGTGTTGATTTATCTCTTTCTTCTCACCTTCTATTCCTAGAAAGCTGTGATTTCCCTGACTATAAAGCCCTATGGAGCTCAAATATTTAACCACTTAAATTGCCTCATTAATATACTTTTCCAACTGTGCAACTGCCTCATTCACAAATACCATTTTTCTAAATGTCTTTTCCTTACATTGATAATGCAAATAACATAATCAAGTCAGATAATTAACTCTGAATTTATGGTATTTTACACACAAACAATTTTAGAGTATAAATCAAGGGTTAGACTCTTTCAGCTTAGTTTCGTTGGTTTTATTTTGTTGGGTTTTTTGTGTTTGGTTTTTTTAGAGACAGGGTCTCGCTATGTTGTCTAGGTTGGTCTTGAACTCCTGGGCTTAAGTGATCCTCCTGCCTCAGCTTCCCAAGTAGCTGGGACTATAGGCACATGCCTGGATCAGCTGAAGTTTTGATTTAAGTAAATATCTATTCATGGAAAACAGATTCTAACTTAACACCAACTTAACTTTGTCCAGTTCCAGTTTACAAAACAGTTGAAATTTTTAAAAAGTTACTTCTTAGTTATTAGTTCCCTGAAGCAATCATACCAACATCCTAAAAGAGGCCACAGAGCTCCTCTCTTGAAAAAGGTATCATCTTCTTGTTCGATGTTCATACAACAATACAGAATAACATTGTGCCCCGGGGACTACGACCTGGATCTACCTGCCCTCCCAGTCCATTCATTCATCCCACAAATATGCTGTCTGAGTGTCTACTATGTCCAGGCACAGTTGTAGGCTTTGGGCATGTATCAGTGAACAACACGGACAAAGATCCCTCCTCTCGTGAACTTATGTTCTGGTGGGAGAAGGAAGATAACGGTAAATGTATTAAACAAAGAAAACATCCAGTGTGTTAGAAGATGGTAAATGCTATTGAAAAAAGAAAAAAGTAGAGCAGGGTAAGTCGGAGGGACTGAGAGTCCTGGGGTTGGGTTGGAGGCTGGTGGCAGCATTTAAAATGGTGTCCAGGCC